GTGATTTTGAGGATCAAAAAGTGAATGGGGGGATTTAATTGGATTGATAAGGGTGTTAGGGTCTTTTCCAATGGTGATGGTATTTATGACATTTGATATTGTTTATTTACTGTTTTTTATAATTGAAGGCCATTTGGCCAAAAAACATTGAGATGGGTTTTTTTTTAACCAAAATCGTTGTTTGACTGTGCTTTTTAACAAAGACTCCCATTTCTTTTTTGTTTAACCCATTTAAGACCCATGTTTAATTAAGCACTCCACTTGAGCACTGGTTATGCGCACGTCAAGTGTGAATTCCCTGGAAATCTTGCTCGACCTCCAATCAAGCGCTCATCGATCGATCGTTTTCCAACATTTTCATTTTTTAATGAAAGATCGGAAACAATGATTGAATACATCTCATCACGTGATGCTTAGAACAAGTATATGATTATGCTCACAAATATAATCAATGAACCAAAGTTATCCCTCCACACAACTCATTCTAAACTTATTGGAGTACGAAGTAAAATAAACTCGCATCTGTAGTGTAACACGAACAATTCATGATTAAAACTCAAAACATTAATTTTGTGACAAGGGACTTGCAAAATATCACCAATGAAAATGAAGTGTACAATAAAAATGAAAGGTAAACCCAGTGCTACCAGGACTTATTTTTAAATGGTATAGCTCAAGTAGATTTTTTGTACAACGTTCTCTCTCCTACATATAAGCAATTGTTGAAACGTGAAATTCATTAGCAAGATTAATGTATTTATTGCCACTCCTTTTTGTATTATTTATTTTTTTCTCACTCGGGAAAAATACAAAAGCTCAGGCCATCTAATTAAAGGTCGATTAATATTTAAGGTCACTTCACCACCCCAGTTATCGTCATCCTGAATCTTACACGTGTGGTCGAACTCAATCACAAAATATTATTATGTATAGTGAAAATTGTACATAAAGTATATTGTACCAAATATCCTAGACTAAGGCTCTGTTTGGGAGGAATTCTCATTTTCTACAGTAAATCAATTCTCATTTTCAATTACACATTCTTCAATAAAATAATATTTTTCATTACATCAATAATTTTTTCTTCTTTTTTAACAACACATTTCCCATTATATCACTATTTAAAATCAATTCTTCCTCCAAAAATACCTACTAAACACGCACTAAGTCAATGATAATTGTACTCTTCATTCACTTTTCAAATACTCGTTGATGAATGACACGTTCTATGACATCACTATAAAGATTTATATAATCAAACAATTCTTTCTGTACATGTTTTATGAAGATATTTTACATATGCTTTAAACAAGTTAAAGTGCATGCAGAAACAATGTAAAGAATATGTCCTAATATATGCATGCACCTATAGTACTACTCAAGGAGTAGCACAGACACCATAGCATTCCTAAGAAACTCAAACATAAGATTATCCAAAGATTTATCAAATGAGCCACAAAATTTCTCTGTAGAGATGTGATCAAGATATACAATACGAATCTCCACATGTTCTCGGATAAAATGGTGTTTAATGTCCGTGTTTGGTCCGATAGAGATGTGCTTAAGAGATATGACACAAGTCTTTCAATTTGGTTTGTGTTTTAATTTTCAATTTTGAGTTTTGAGGTCATATTCAGCTTTTTATTTTGAGGATTTGTTTTAAAATTTCTAAAAATGCGTTTGGTTTGTTATTTTGAAAAATTATACCTCAAAATCGAAAGTTAGAAAACACGTTTGTTTGAAAATTTATTTTGTTATGTTTTATTCCATAAAATTTGATTATTTTCTAAAAATAGAATACATTTATGTTAATATGTTGTCAAGTTATATATATTTAGTGAGTTCTATAATTTTTTTTTTTTACAAAAGTAAAATAAAAATAAATAATAAATTGAGTTCAAAATATAAGAAATAAAAATAAAAAATTAATGATATGGACTGATAATATTTTTATCCGTGTTCACTTAAATATTTTTTTATAATTTTTATCTCTAAAATTTTTATAATTTTATTTTTTTCAGAATTTTTTTAATTTTTATTTTTTTTAGAATTTCAAGATTTTTAGAATCTAGGATTTTATTTTTTGAAAATTTCAAGATGAGCAGTAGCTAGGATTTTTTTAAATTTAATTCTTTTATTTTAATTTTTTTCGTATGGAAAATATAAAGTTGCATATTTTCCCTTTAAAAATTGGCCAACAATTGGTCGGACATTTAATTATTGGTCAGCTAATGGTCAAACTAACGGTTTCTATTAATTTGGACTTTGGGTACGAATTGTTTAAATGTTTGGTACTGTGGGTGGTACAAATGAAAGTTTGGACAAAGTCTGTAAAAAAGTGAAAGATTTGGTACCATGACTACAATTTTTCATTTATATGACCCACGAAATGTTGACAGTAATCCTAGTGCGAGATAGCATTGGTATCCAAAAAAATATTCCGAATTTGCGCCGAACTGATTTCTTCCTAATTTGCGTCGAATTGAGTAATTTTTTCCTTTTCCTGTTCCTGTTACCATATTTCGCCAAATTGAGGAAGTAATTTAAAATCAGCTTCGATTTGGGAGTCTTTGTCCACTGATATATTGTCCTCCCCAATCCCCTTTCACAAATCCACACCTGAATCTCTATATTTCTTGGTCTTCGATTAATCTCTTTTTCTTGTTGTGTTCCGATTTGCCACCGATTTTCTCCGCGTCGATTCGGTGCTCTTACTGACATGGGCGACAGCCAGAATTCTAGGGAGAAAGATCCGTTCCTACAGGATTACAGCGCCGAAGAACTGCGAATTGCTTCGGAGTTCTTGTCCAATTGGCTGCCGTTTCTCTCCTGTGGACTCTGCAAGAGCTGTACTGAAACTCTTTCTGATCGCATCCGATCCCTCAACCCAGGTACAAAAACCACCCCTTTATACATGCGGTATATATCCAAGTGTAATTATGTCCTGTATATCCATTGCTGTTCTTATGGACTATAATAATATGGAGAATTTTCAGTTAGCTTTGTTTCTTATTCCCCTTTTAAAAATCTTGGCCCCTTGGTGAAAATCTCTTTTTGCATTCGTGTCTTGAGTTTTATTGGAGTATTTGATCCCATGGAATGTTTCTTTCCCTTATTATTATTATTATTATTACTACTACTACTACTACAGTCTGAACGGAGGCTGTGCTATATGTTTAATTAAATTTTGTTTACCGTGGTTATTGAAAAAGTCGGATCTTTTCAAAACTATGAATTTACAGTAACTGAATTTGGAAAGTAGAATGGTTTTTCATCTAGTATAATATGCTGCCTTTAAGGATTTAGTTTTTCTGTTTTTCTGAAATTCTTGTGTGTTATTCGTTTGGGTTTTTTTTGGCTTTTGTAGAAATCAATGGTGAAGTAGGACCTGGTAAAAAGAAGGGGAAATTTTCTGTTTCGGCTATCATGGATCTGAGTAGAAGTAAAGAAGATTGTGATTGTTCAGTTGGGAGTTTGAAAGATAGTATGGATCATAATGATAACACAGATACATATTCATTGGGCAGCTGGAAAGATGAGGCAGATGGGTTGTCAGAGCCAGCTGCTGACGCATTGTCAACCAGTGAAACATCTACCTTGTTAACGCCTTTTGCAAGCTTGAAGGTGAAAATGTCTTGGGCCGATATGGCTCAAGAGGATGAGCTTGACATGGGGGAAGAGATTGGCAGTAGTACGTCTGTCGGTGTGCAAGAGGGAACAACATTGGACGATGCTAAGCCAAAGTCGGGGTTGTCAAGGGAGCAAAGAGAACACATTCGATTCTGTAATGTGAGGAGAAAGAAGAATTTTATATCTTTCGAAAGAGTTAATGGGAAATTCGTGAACATTCTAGAAGGCCTGGAGTTACATAAATGTGTCTTCAGTGCTGCAGAACAAAACAGGATTGTTAAGTATGTTGAGAAGCTTCAAGAGATGGGGAGCAATGGGAAGCTGAAAGGTGAGTTACTGTACTGATAAACTGCATGTTTTTTTTTATCTGCATTAACTTTCGATATATCTTGCCCTCTAGTTATCACCATATGACTAATGATTTCTGCATATCTCTGATAAGCTGATTTTGTCATTTATGGAAATTTGTCTACGTGGGGGATTTACGCCATGTAGATCTTGAACAGAAAATTTGACAAGTGTCAATATTGGAGTTTGAGTTTTTGATTTCTGGTTATATGATTAATGAGTATGATTATTTGCCTTCTGGATACTGTCAAACTGTTTGATATCATTCTCTGCTTTATTAATTTCTGGTCAATCTCACATGCAATCAACCTTTGGGTTTTAGGGAAGTTCACAGGCATGCACGGTTAGGAAGTTGTTTGATTGTTTTGATCAGAAGTTAATGAGTTGTTAAACTAAATTACTTAATAGAGCAGGATCAATATTTAACATATTTTTATAGGAAAGGAGCTTAAATTGCATTCTAGTGGTTTCAGTATACATTAGAATCACTGTGCCTAGTTTGCAAATAGGCAACTTTCCTTCTACTTGTTCTTAAAACTTGTGTAATCCTCACTTTAATTAATTTGGTTCTATGGTGTCAATGTTTTTTGCACTTATATTCCTTGTAGTTATGCTGCTCTTTACTACATTAAGAATATGATGGTTATGTATGGCAATTTGCATATGATTTTGGATGGCCCTGATTTTGATATTTAATTTCATTGCTTTATTTTAAGGTTGTGACATGGTTAAGAATACGCATATGTTTACCTGTCTAAGTTTTAATTTCAGAGCGCACCTACTCTGCGCCGCAGAAGTGGATGAGAGGGAAGGGCCGCATCACTCTTCAGTTTGGTTGCTGCTACAATTATGCAATAGTAAGTTTCTCTTTGCATCGTAGTTTGGACATAGAACTTTCCCTTATTCACTGTTTACCACATCACTATTAGTAGAAATGTGAAGATATCAATAGCCTCAAGTTCAATTTTTTTTAATGGCAGGATAAAAAGGGCAATCCACCAGGCATTCTCAAAAATGAAATGGTTGATCCTTTACCCCATCTTTTTAAAGTTATGATCAAAAGGCTCGTTACATGGCATGTTCTCCCTCCATCGTGCGTTCCCGATAGCTGTATCGTCAACATTTATGAAGAGGGAGACTGTATACCACCTCACATTGATAATCACGATTTCGTTCGACCTTTTTGTACCGTCTCTTTCCTTAGCGAGTGTGAAATACTTTTTGGATCAAACTTGAAAATAGTGGGTCCTGGTGACTTCGCTGGTTCTTTTGCAATTCCTCTACCAGTTGGGTGAGTATTTAGTACTTAAAGATTCTTATCAGATAAACATGAAAATTCAAGTTTTTTGTTTCTACCCGGGAAATCATCCTCTTATAAATATTAACTTGTTGCCAAATCTTTTGCCAGATCTGTTCTTGTCTTAAAGGGAAATGGAGCTGATGTGGCTAAGCACTGTGTGCCAGCTGTTCCTACGAGAAGGTACTAATTGAAATAAGTTATGTTCTTCAAACTTCCCTCATTTGTGTTTCTGCCTAATATGCTGATTCTTGAATATTTTACGGCCAGGATATCAATTACCTTTAGGAAAATGGACGAATCTAAACTGCCGATTGGATATGTCCCTGAATCTGATCTGCAAGGGCTTCAGCCATTGCCTTACGAAGATGACTCATCAAAGAGTTACAATCCTTCTAAAGAGAGGCATTTTTCAAAAACCCAAGCATCTGGAAGAGATGAGAAAACAGAGAGAGGAATGAGATCGGCAGGAAGGTACTCGAATGCCCATTATTCAGGTCGAAGCAGACAAGGTCCTGTAAACAGGCCAATGGGATGGGTTAATTCGGAAAAGTGAATTTGGTATGATAATAATGAGCTCAGGAAAATTGGACTGAACATATTCTTCTATGATTTAAGGCCTTTTGAGTCTTTCAGGATTAGGATATTTGGTCAGTACAGTATACTTGTGTGCCACTTTGGGGATATTCATCACGTTGTGAGAGTTATAATTCTACTCGAAAATAATGAGTAGCTGGGTTTTATGCTTTTTGCTTCTTTCTTGACTACCTGCGTGTATATTGTATTTGAGTTTCGGTTTGTGATTGAGTAACTTAAATTTTGTTTCTCTGAAATAATGCTCTATTTCTTGGTTATCCACTTTATTCCAGGATTCAGCTACATTTATTTGCTTCAATTTCATCATCCAGTGGAGAAACCAGAGATTTATGAGAGAGTATTTTGTTTCTCTCTCATCAATTTGATTCATTGTCTTGGTTAAGCTCTCGTTCATTGTTACACCTCTCTCTCTTTATTTTTTTTTATATTAGATCCAGACTTGTCATATTGAATGTGTATAGTGCAAGGACTTTGAAACCTACGTCGTCTTTAGGTGGTGGTTGTGACCTTCCCCACTATATTCAAATTGAATGTAATTTTTAAAATAAAAATAAAATGACTTCTTATACATAGAAGTGTCAAGAAAGACGGGCCGATCAGACCCGCGAAAATCGGCCCGGATCGACCTGGGATCGCGGGCCGACCCGTGACCCGAGCGAGCGGTTCACGGGTCAAGGGGGTGTGACCCGCGGGTTTCGCGGGTTGCACCTTCACAGACTGCGATTAACCTGCTGGCCCGTGAAAAAAAAAATTCGAAAAAAAGGAGGGAGAGAGTCGTTCAACTAGCTTGTTGCTGCAGCAAGCTAGCTACAGGCAGCAGGCTGGCAAGTGCATGCATGCAGGCGTATTTTTTTTTAAAGTCATGCAGGTTGGTACCAGCCTGCATGTTTCAGATGCAGGCTACGCCTACATTGCGTAGCCTACATGTTAAATTTTTTTAATTTTCTTTTATAACGGTAATAATTTATAACGGTAATAATATTTATTTCATCTATAAATTTCAGTTAAGAAATGATATTTACCTCACTTGTAGCATTCCAAAAAATTATACTTGTTAAGTTGTTATTACAATTGCAAATATCATCATCATTCATTTCTATTATATTTCTTTCTTCTCA